TTGACTTGGGATCCTCTGGGACAGCCCATTCAGGGAATGTGAACATGTGAAGGCCACCTGTATTCAGGTGTCTAATTTCAGCTGTCTGGAATTAGATGTGGACTGACCTGGACTTGAATCCCTGCCCCACTGTCACTAGCTGTGTGGCTAGTCTTCAGCAAGTCACTTCTCTCTGGGCCTCAGGGGCACAATGAGTCTTGCTTTGCCTGTGTTACAGTTGTATGTGATTCAGGCATCAAAACATACCTGAGATCATGTGAACAGAGGTTTGCGATGAGAAGGAGGGAGGGGAATGGTCTTATTCTTCTCTGGGGTGGTCAAGCCCCGAGGATAGGGTCCAGTTTCAGGTCTCAAGTCTGGGTGATGGTGAAGCACTGTGCGTGTTCGTAGCAACCAGCGAAGTGAAGAGACAAGAAAATGCTGCCATCTCAGGAAGTCAAACTCCGCAACCCCCGAAACCCAGCAAAGACCAGAGTGCTATTCAGTGTGGAAAATAGATGACTCAAGGGGGACATGATTGCTGTTTCTTAATACCTGAAGAACCTTCATGGGGAATTCTCGATTGCTTGAGGCTAGGGGTTCAAAACCAACCTGGGCAACATAGCAAGATTCTGTCACTATGAAACATAAAAAAAAATTAGTTGGATGTGGTGGTGCGTGCCTATAGTCCCAGCTACTAGGGAGGCTGAGGCGAGAGGATCACTTGAGCCTGGGAGGTTGAGGCTGCAGTGGGCCATAATTGTGCCACTGCACTCCAGCCTGGATGACAGAGTGAGAATCTCTCTCTAAAACAAAAACCAAAATCCAAAAAACTACAGATAAGTAGAGAGAAGGCAATCACTCCACTATCTATACCCTACTCAGAGACTGTCACTGCTGACAGTCGGGTGCATGTCCTCCCAGCCTTTCTGTGCTGGTGGGTTGGCATCTGCAGACCCCAGCTGCTGCTTCCATTTGAGGCCCTGAGCAGTCTCTGCTGTCACCTGATGCCACCTGGAAATAGAAAATTGCCCCTTTTAACATCTCCAAGAACTGACCTAGCTTTGCTACAAATGTGCTAGTGAGTATGCAGTGAGAATGCCCTTGAGGCTTCCTGGGGGAAGGACCACTCCCCAGGTCCCACCACACGGCTCCATACCCCAGCTTCCCTTCTTTTTTCTTTTTTTGAGACAGAGTTTTGCTCTTGTTGCCCAGGCTGGAGTGCAATGGCACGATCTCGGCTCACTGCAACCTCCGCCTCCTGGGTTCAAGTGATTTTCTTGCCTCAGCCTCCCAAGTAGCTGGGATTACAGGCATGTGCCACCAAGCCTGGCTAATTTTTAAAATATTTTTAGTAGAGACAGAGTTTCTCCATGGTGGTCAGGCTGGTCTTGAACTCCCGATCTCAGGTGATCTGTCTGCCTTGGCCTCCCAAAGTGCTGGGATTACAGGTGTGAGCCACAGTGTCCAGCTCCACTTCTGTTTTTTTGTCCTCCAGAATGAGGGGATTCCCTCTTTGACCCTCATTCTGCCTTGCTGGCCTTCATACCTCATTCTTTGTCATTCGGTAGCTCCCTATGTCTTCCTGCCGCACCTATGCACTCATCAGGGACTCCATCAGACAAGACCTTCCAGTACAGGACCCTCTTCTCCTACTCAGGGGGGATTTGGGGGTTTTCTGTTGTTTCTTGTGCTCACCCCTTGGGATTTTATGCCCCATCCTGAAATCTTCTGCCCAGTTCTTACATCAACTTGCATCAGCTGATGGATATATGCTAATTGTTCATCCTTTATAAACATGGACCAATACTGCATGGGCTTTTTTGTAATCTGCTTTAGAAAACAACATATCAGAAGCAGTTTTGAAGAGAACGTGTCCCACTGCCAGCTCTGTTTCAAGATGGGCAGGGCTGTCTCGGGAGGTAGTGAGCTCCCAGTTACTGTGGGCAGTGAAGCAGGAGCTGTGGGACTATTGCTGGGAAAATTGGAGGGTGGGCAAGAAGCCCCCCAAATGCCCTTGCTCTGTGATGTCTATGGGGCAATGAAAGAAGCAGTACCTGGACTATTCTGGACTGACTGGCGAAGAACCCTAACCAGAAGGAGAGGTCTGAGCAGGAATGGCTGGATGCTGGCTTCTGGAGAGAGTGGTGGCTGCTGGCTGGCATTGTCCCAGGCCTGATGGAGAGTCAGAAGGATGCTCAGTAAAGCACAGCCTGACCTGCACCTTCTTCCAGGTCTACATGTTCAAGTGCGTGTGGCGGTGCTACAGATTCATCAAGTTCCTGAACTCGGCTGAGGAGAGGAGCAACTCCAAGATGCTCCGGAAGGTGAGTGTTGATCCCAGCCCTGCCACTCACTCCCTGTGCCATTTGGGTCACACCTCTTTCCCTCTGTGGGCCTCGGTTTCTCTATTTGTAAGATGAGGGTTGGATCAGAAGAAATGTGACCTCTTTCAGTTCTGATAGTCTAAGATTCTATTCATTCACTCACTCACTCACTCACTCATTCATTTATTCAGTATTTACTGCTTCTCACTCTTGGCTAGTCTCATATCTATTCCAAGGGGTGCAGAGAAAACTAAGATGCCACCTCTACCTCAGAGAAGTATATAGTCCAGGGTGAATTCAGACACATAGATACAATTACAACTTGGTGCGAAGCACAGGGACAATAAGCACAGGGACCTGGCTTCTTCTTGGGCATCAGGGAAGGCTTCCTGGAGGAGGTGACAGTTGATTGGTCTTGGAGGGTCAATGGATATGAGATAGCTGGGAAAGAAGAAGGAGCTTTCCAAGAAGAGAGGATGGGGTGCGCTTGGAAACTGCTTATTGGAAAGTGATGGTTTAAATTTCTGGTAACTTACTTTTGTCACCTGTAAGGTGGAGGTTGGATTAGTTAAGACACTTTTGGTTGCAAGTGGCAGAAACCCAACTCAATCTGACTTAAGTAACAGAAGGAACTTACTAGCTCACAGAACTTAGCAGTCAAACGTAGGACTGGCTTGGGCCTGGCCGAGTCCTGACATCAGGACATGATCTCATCCTCTCTATCTCTTGATTCTACTTTCCTTGATGTTGGCTTCATTTTCAGGAAGCCCGTCCCTCGTGGTGGCAAAATGGCTGCCAAAACCCCTAGGCTAACATCCCATCCTCTCAGTAATCCCAGTGGAAAGAGAATGTCCCAGGAGTATGTCTGACTGGACCAGCTTGGGCCATATGCCTGTGCTCAAACCAAAGACTATAGCCAGGGGGATAGAATCCTAATTTGAGTGGCCAAGTCTGGCCACCCTACTGGATCTGTGGGACGGGGCCAGTTCTTCTGAAGGTATATGGACTGTAAATGTCTTCCCAAGGAAAATGGTGCACTGCTTTCAAAATAAGGGGGTCTTCATGCTGAACAGGCTGAACAGGCAAGTGTGTCCACTACTGGGAAGTGTGCCTATCTCATGCAGGCAATGTGTAGCACATAGCAGGTATCCAAGACCTGTCAGTCATTATCACCATCATCATCATCATCATCATCATTTTGCCAGAGGTGGGAGTTTGGGTCCCACGATCCTAGGTTGGAATTGCGGGTTGTTCTTGACCATACTCATCCCTCATCTCTCTGTCTCTCCCAGGTGGTCCTGCCATCCTATGAGGAAGCCCTGTCTTTGCCATCGAAGGCTCCAGAGGGGGGCCCAGCACCACCCCCATACTCAGAGGTGTGACTCTCGCCAGGCCCCAGCCCCAGTGCTGGGAGGGGCGGAGCTGCCTCATAATCCGCTTCTTTGCTTTGGTGGCCCCTGTGGCTTGGGTGGACCCTCCCGCCACTCCCTGGCTGACTCCAGGACAATCTGCTCGTGTCTCCCTTGCTGGCCTGCTCCTCCTGCAGGGCCTATGGGCTGCTCACAATTGGGTCAACGCTATAGGCTGAATCACTCCTCTGGTCTCCCAAAAATTCAGCCCAACAATGCTTGGTTTATTTCCATCAGCTCTGACACTTGTTTAGATGATTGGTCACTCTAAAGTTGGTGAGTTTGTTAAGTAACTACCAACTTGATCAGTCCAGGAAAGCCACTGACAAATCAAAAACCTACTCGTCAGTTCAGTAAAACAATTTGGTCAAACAACAGTCTATTGCATTGATTTATAAATAGTTGTCAGTTCAATAGCAATTTAATCAAGTAATCGTCAGTTAGCCGCCCCCATACATAAGTATATATGTAATCAATTTCTTCAAGTAGCTTGCTTAAATGATAATCAATTAGCCAAGCATGAGTCGTTTGGAATAGTGATAGATAGAATACATAGAATAGTGATAAAATGCAATTTTAAAAATCAAGTTAGCCTCCAAACCATTTAATTCAAATGAGCCCATCAACTGGCTGACACCTCTGGCCACTGCAGGACCTCTGAGTGGCTGTATAATCGTTAATTCAAATGAAATTCATTTAAACAGTTGACAACCTGTCATTCAAGGTTAGCTCCAGGAAATAACAGTTGTTTCAATCATAAAGCAGTTCCTTCAAATGCACAATTCTTCTGCTGAAGAGGTGTCATTAACAGTCCCCTGCTCTCCTACTCAGTCACTCTGTGGCAGTGTGGCTGCAGAGCAGTGGATTCCATGAAAGGGGTCAGCTCAGTCGCAGTCATTTCATTAAGGAGCTGCCAGTCCATTCCCAGGCCAGGCCATCACTGGCCGTCCATTCACTGGATTCAGTCATAGGTGAGTCAGTTCTGCCCAAGGCTGTGGTCAAGCAGAAATTCAGCCCTGAAACCAGGCACATCCGTTCACTGAACTAAACCCACAGGTTAGTTCAATCAAAGCAGGTGACCCCCTTGTGGGCACAGACCCTGCCACTTGGGTCACGGCGGTGGTGGCAGCTGGGGAGGTTTGGCCCCAGTGGCCCTCCTGTGCCTGCTTCCCTGTGCGCTGGGGGGAGCTGACCCGAGGTGGAGACCATGGAGACAGGGTCTCTGGAGTCTGTGGGCGGTGGGCGGGGCACAGAGGGAGAAGGCTCTGCAAGAGCTCCCCAGCAACACCCCCTTGTGTAATTGCTTTGTGTGCGACAGGGAGGAAGTTTCAATAAAGCAGCAACAAACTTCTCTCTGGCTCATGTGCTTCTGGAAATACAGTGTAGGGAGGGTGGAGACATGCCTTCTACCTCCACCACTCCCAGGACTCACCCACACCCTACATCCACATACTATCCCCATACTCACGCCCCCAACACCCACACCCACCAACACACAACACCCCCATACCCACATACCATCCCCACATTCACCCCAACACCCACACACTACATCCATATACCATCCCCACATCCCAACACCCACACTCACCCACATACCCCCACATTCACACCCCAACACCCACACCTACCCACATACCCCTACACTCACACCCCAAAACCCACACCCACTCACATACCCCCATACTCACACCCCAACACCCACACCCACCCACATACCCCCATACTCACACCTCAACACCCACACCCATGCACATACCCCAACACTCACACCAACACCCACTCACTACACCCATATACCATCCCCACACTCACACCCCAAAACCCACACCCACCCACATACCCCCACACCCACACCCCAACACCCACACCCACACCCCAACACCCACACCCACCCACATACCCCAACACTCACACCAACACCCACTCACTACACCCATATACCATCCCCACACTCACACCCCAGAACCCACACCCACCCACATACCCCCACACCCACACCCCAACACCCACACCCACCCACATACCCCCACTCCCACACCCCAACACCCACACCCCAACACCCACACCCACACCCCAACACCCACACCCACCCACATACCCCAACACTCACACCAACACCCACTCACTACACCCATATACCATCCCCACACTCACACCCCAAAACCCACACCCACCCACATACCCCCACACCCACACCCCAACACCCACACCCACCCACATACCCCACACCCACACCCCAACACCCACACCCACCCACATACCCCCACACTCACACCCCAACACCCACACCCACCCACATACCCCCACACTCACACCCCAACACCCACACCCCAACACCCACACACTACACTCATATATCCCCACACACCCCAACACCCACACCCACCAACATGCACACCCTCTACACCCTCTACACACTCACCTGTACCCCCCACACTCACACCCCAACACCCACACCCACCAACATACACACCCACAGCCCCTACACACTCACCTGCACCCACCCTCTCACCCCAGTCCACACCCTCACATCTACACCCACATACACACCCCTGCACTCACACCCCTACTTCCCCCACCCCTCACGCATCCACACACCTACACCCTCATACCCACATACACCCTCATACCCACATACCCATATACATATCCTCACCCCCACACCCCCCACACCCAAACACACATCCACATACACAAGATCTACCCCCACACACCCATATACACACCAACACCCCCATATGCACACATCCATACATATTTGCATCCCCCCACATCCCCCACACCCACACACACATCCACATACACAAGCACATACACATCAACACCCGTACATACCCACACACACATCAACACCCACACCCACATACCCCCATCCCCTACCCCCTCACACCCCACACCCATATACTCCCCACACCCACACACGCACATACACACCAACACCCACACCCACACACTCAAATCGACAAGCACTCACATCTACACATGCACTCACACTCCCAGCCCCCTACACCTACAAACACACCTATGCACACACCCCCATCCCCCACACCCACCCCCCACACTCACATGAACACTCACACCCACACCCACACCCACATACCTGGTTGTTCAGTCCAGAAACTCCTCCCATGGGCCATACTGAGTGCGGGGTGGTCATGACCGGATGCCATTTCTGATCATGAATCACAGCCCTTGATGAAGCACCCTGATGTCTCCCAAATCGGGCATGTGCTCCACTCCCCAGGCCCAGATTCTGCTCTGGATGCTGGGGTGACCTCAGCAGGTCAGACTCATCTCCAGTTCCCCCAGTCTGGGGTAGGAGGGACAGATCTGCAAAAGGGCTGCCGTGACAGAGAAGGCCTGGGGGACCTCAGACATGGCTTGAGTTCCAGAGAAGGCCTCTTGGAGGGTGTCACCAAGTGGTCTGAAGGATGAGAAGGCAGCAGGAAGCAGAGTGGGAAGGGTGCTCTAGGCCTAGGCAGAAGGACGTGCAAGGACTCTGTGGCACGGGGAACAGGAGCTGGGTCAAGCCGCTAGGTGTGGCTTCGAGTGTTGGGGGCAGGGAGAGGAGGACAGCCAGCTGTTGGGGCCTGGGTCAGGAAGAGTGTTTGCACACAGTAGGGCTGTTTGGCTGCAAGCTCACCTGGCTAAGTTCAGCCAAGAAGGGAATTTACAGGAAGGACATGGTTGCAATTAGCAGAAGCCTTATGAGCCAACTTTATTATGAAAAACAAAAAGGGGGTTCATGGTGTTTTTTGGCTCTCATATAAATAAAAAATCCAGGGATTTGGGGCTTCAGGTATGGCAGGATCCAGGACTCCAATTCTTTAATAATGTCTCTTTCTCTTTCTCCATCCCTTATCTTTTTTCCCCTGGTATGGCTAAGCGGTTCAGGGCTTTCCTGAGAGTAAAGTTAATAAAGAGACCAAGGCGCTTTGAACTGGGATCTTTCACCAGTACCAAGAGAGACCTCATAGTGCCTTGAATGTCATGCCAAGGAACATGGACTAATCCTGAGACAGGCATCTTTGAAGGATTTTGGGCCAAGGAGTTATGAGGAAGGAAGGGCCCAAATGCAGGGTCCCCTAAAAGGGCTTGGGGAAATCGTCCTGTGGGGAGGCAGGGACAGGAATGAGTTTGAGCAGCATTGTCAACCGTCTGGTGGTGTCAGCTTTTCTTGGAAATGGCAGATTTCTTCATGGATGTTACCTGCTTGTTATCAGACCCACAAGCAATCGGTGCAGCATGACTCACAGAAATGGAAAGGGAGCTCCTGTTCACACTTGAGGCAGAGACCCAGAGACAGCAAGTGATTTTCCTGAGGCCACACAGTGATCGGAGATGAGACCAAGAGCCTTTCTTTTCTACTCCAGGTGGAGGCTGTTAGAGGGGCTGGGGCCCCAGTCTGTGTGAGCTGTTGCTTCTTGCAAAGACCCACAGGAAGAGGACCTGCTGAGAAGCCCCAGTAAGTGTGGATTGGGAGCAGAGGTCATGGGAGGAGAGAAATTGGCCCAGCTTTGCATCCTATCACAAGGAGACCGAAGGGCTGTGGCTACGTGTGTCACAAGGACCAGGAGGCCCTGAACTGGCCAGCATGACTCTCCCATGCTTCCCGCCTTCGCCGACTTCCACCTCTGGCCTGGAGCCGAGGAACAGGTGGAGCTCTGTAGTGGGATTGTGTCCTGTGGCCAGGCAGCTGGGAGGGGGCCACCCGAGGGACAGGAAATAGCTGGGTTTGGGGAAGTCGCATGGCCAGCCAAGCCAAGCGAGCCAACGATCGCCTGGGCAGCCCTCACTGAGGCTGATCAATGCCCTGTTTCAGGCTCACACAGGGGTCCTTTGACAGGGCTGTGATGGTTTGGACCCACTGAGAGTGTCTGTTTGAGCTTCATGCTTGGAAGGGAGCCGGCCCCAGGATGGAGGGGGCCTGGGCAGGTGAGGGCAGCCTGAACTGGCTGTCTCTTGGAGGGAAAAAAGAGCTGGTAAAATTAAACCTGGGGTGCTAAGCAGGGCAGCCTCAGGTTTTTCGGGGGCTGTGATGGTAGCAGGAAGGGTCCCTGCAATTGAGCAGGCCCTTCAGTGTGCTGGCTCCACGGATCTCCCTGTGGCCTTACGAGACAGGTGCTGGGTGGGGATCATTCCTGAGGTTCAGGGAGGGGACTGCATCTGCCCAAAGTCACGCGTCAGCCAAGGGGCAGAGCTCGCTTGGACTTCAGTCTACCCGACTGGACCTGAGCTTGTCTCTCTGGACCTTTCTGGGTAACCTCGCCCTTCCTCTGGGTCTTTCCACCTCACAAGGCCCTCATTTAATCCCTCTGCCAGGCTCTGAGCCCTCTTGGGAGGGCTCGGAAATAAGGGGCAGGCCTCGGGGGCAGCAGGGAGATTGCAGCCGTTGCAGGCCCCAGGATGGTGGTGCCCAGCTCTGAGCAGAGGACATGGAACAGGGGATGGAAAAGGATGCACCGAGTTTTGGTGGTGCTGGACTCATGCTATCTTAGGGGACATACAACGAGAGGTGCTTAGGAGGCAGCTGGGTCTATAGGTCTGGAGTTCAGGAGAGCGAGGAGGGAGGGAGGGAGGTTGAGTTGTGAGTGCTATTTGCCAACATGTGGGTGGGATGTCAGGTTTAGGCGGGTGTTACCCAGGTTCTCAGAGGTGAACCCATCAGCAGGACGTGCTGCTATGCCGTGGCCACCCCGGACAGATCCACAGATGAAAGCACATGCCTCCTCACCCTGAATGTCAGCTTGACTGACCGTGTGTAGAGCCTGAGGCCAAGACAGCACATGGGAGGTTTCATGAACCACATGTGGCACCTTGGATCACAGGGACTGTGGCCTGAACGGGGACTGGGCAGGAGGAGCAGTCCAGCTGCACTGCACGCTCCTGGGTGGGAGGATAAGGATGGCCACTTTGTGGATGAGGAACCTGCCCTGTGCCTGGGGCCACCCCACGTTACTGGGTCTCTGTCTGACTTTTGGGAAGGCCAGAGATTCATGCCCCATCTGGTACTCTGGCGACGTCTCCAATTTGCAGTGAAACCATTTAAGGGTGAAGAAAAGCAGTTCTAGGTTAAAGGAAGTCAGGAGCGGGACCCACCTGGGGTTCTCCTTGGGTCTTTGGGTGGCAGCAAAGCCTCTGTGGAGGGCGTAAGAGGCAGCCCCTGTGTGTATCCACAGCCACAGGCCTTGCCCACTGCCTGCTTGGATAGGCTCTCAGGGAACCCATGCTCACATTCCAGCCTGTCTCCTGGGTCTCCAGGGGGAAGCCTCTCTAATTAGCCACCAAAAGTGCTCCGATGGTCCGTGGGCACAGTGGAGAGCTGCTGGCATGAGGGATCCGCAGCTCTAAATGCATAAACAGCATCCTCCTGGGAAACAATTTTGATGCCATCTCAGTGGTCCAGATGGTAGAACAGGACACTCACCTGCCGCTTCCTCGGCTCCCCGTACTGTGGGGACATGCCAATCTGGGAAACAGCAGGGCCAAGGTCTGGGGATGTGGCCAGGTATCCTGAGAAAAGGACTTGGGCACAGGTAGCTTATTTGGGAGGCAATCCCAGGAAATACAGTGAGGGGGAGTGAGGTGGGGACAGGATAAAAGCCAAGAAAATGTGCATTAATAAGCAGGTCACCTCTGTGGGCAACTGGGCTCACTCCTGCTGGGGACCTTCTGAGGAGCAGCGAGGAGCATGTCTCAGAACTGTCTGGTGGGGGATGGGGATGTTGGGGTCTTCTGATCCCTGCAGGCTGCATGTTATCCCTGGGGATGATCAAACCCCGGGCTGCCTGGCCCACTGCCCGAGTCCCTGGGAACTGCCTGCTGCAGCTGTGGGTGAGCTGAACCCATGGTGGGCTGAAGGGCCATGGGTCAGGGTCTTAACTGGGCCAGCTAGAGTTCCCAGTGCTAAACTGGGCTCACTCCTCCAAATGCTCATTTCTTCTTCCAGTGTGATTGACCGAAAGCGCATTCCTCATGGGAAGCTCTCACAGCCACTCCTGGGGTGAGGGCTGACCCTCTGGCCCCAAGTAGGCCTGTGGCAGGGATGCAACTTGTATTTTTAACAAGCAGGTGAGTAGCGTGGGTGGCCAGGTGTACATGACCTTTGAGTTTCCTTCAGAGCCTGAGCTTCAAGGTTTGACATTTTCCCACAAATAAAATGGGCCACCATGTATTGACTGCAAACTCTGATAGGGTGTTAGTGGGGGGGCTGGAGTCTATGTGGGAGGCTCTGAGGACTGAGGAGGAGTGACTCATTCTGTGCTAGAGAAAAGAGGGAGATGGCGGGAGGCAAGGAGAGGGAGAGAAAGGGAAAGAGTGACAATGGCCTGGCAGGGGAAAGGAAGCTGACTGTGAAGAGCTTTAAACGCCAGCTAAGTCTGAATTTCCATCTAGAGGTGATACAGGGCTAACAAAGGCTCCCCCTCCCTCTGTCCCAGGGAATGGTGACAGCGTGACAGAAACTGTCACAGTAACTCAATGCCCATATCCTGCCCCTGGGCATCCAGGTAGAGTCAGGTGATGTGTACTCCTTGTCTGAGGCAGTTAAGAGAGATGCTTGCTGTCTCTCTCTTGTCCAAGTGGCCAGAGACAAGGACTTGGAAATGGTGGAGGCTGCTTTGGAGAGGGCCTATGTGGGGTCACCTGCCTGGTACTGGATGGTGCCATGAAAGAGAAGCAAACCCTGTATTAAGCCATGGTGATGTGGGGGCGTGTTTGTTATTGCAATGTAGCCTATCCTAGCCTGACTGATGCAAGCAGGTGTAAAAACAGTAAGCACTGGCCAGTTGTGGTGGCTCACACCTGTAATCCCAGCACTTTGGGAGGTCGAGGTGGGCGGATCACTTGAGCTTAGGAGTTCAAGACTAGCCTGGGCAACATGGTAAAACCCTGTCTCTACCAAAAATATAAAAAATTGGCTGGGTGAGGTGGTGAACACCTGTGGACCCAGCTACTCAGGAGGCTGAGGTGGGAAGATCACCAGAAGCCAGGGGGTCAAGGCTGCAGTGAGCTGTGATAGTGCCCCTGCACTCCAGCCTGGGTGACAGAATGAGATCCCATTTTAAACAAAAAAAAAAAAAAAAAGAAAAAAACTAGAGCAAGAAACCAAGTAAACATCGATGTAGCATTCACTGCATCTCTTCCTCACAACTTCCCTGTGTCATTAGCATTAGAGTTCCAGTGCTACAGACACGAAACAGACAGGCAGAAGAGGGAGGGACTTACCGGAAGTCACCACCGCCGGCCTGTGACAGGGACTGAAGCCCAGCTCTCTTTGATTCTAAAGCCGTTTCACTTCACAGGATTCCTCAAAGTCTGGTGTGCATGCCACTGGCAGAAAACAAGAAAATTTCGGTGATTTGTGTATGAAAAAGCTAAATTTAATTAGTTTTGAATTTATTTGAATTTTATATGGAATGAATGTCTATTGGAATAAATAAATAAACAGTACATCAAACCAGTGATTTCATGGCTATTATTTCTTAGAAGGCAGAGAAATTTTTGGTTTTATTTTTTTTTTTGAGATGTAATCTTGCTCTGTTGCCAGGCTGGAGTGCAGTGGTATGATCTTGGCTCACTGCAACCTCTACCTCCTGGGTTCAAGTGATTCCCCTGCTTCAGCCTCTGGAGTAGCTGGGACTACAGGTGCGCGCCACCACACCTGGCTAATTTTTTTTTTTGGTATTTTAGTTGAGACAGGGTTTCACCATCTTGGCCAGGCAGGTCTCGATCTCCTGACCTTGTGATCTGCCCACCTCAGCCTCCCAAAGTGCTGGGATTACAGGTGTGAGCCACCGCGCCCAGCCCCAGAGAAATTTTTAAGAAGTGGTTTGGGATGACTTAAACAAAAAGATTAACTAAATACTACTAAAGGCGTGTGTGGATACAGCCAAACTGTGATGGTGGTGGGTGAAGAATGAAGGGGCGGCTGTCCAGGCTGATGCTGCATCCACGTTAGCTACAGGTAACTAACTATATAAATCACTGGTTATTGCGAGATAACCAGGTTTGCTCTTTAGGGAAAGAGGTGCTCCTGGGAGCACTAGAGAGGGAGTCCTGTGTGCTTTCCACTGAACCACACCACCCGGAGGCCTCTCCGTGGATCACAAACTCTCTCTCACATTAAACACTAATGGCTTTAAGTTTCTGGAAGCCCGAGGGGTGAGAAAACAGGGCGAGGGAACAGCAAAGCCCTTCACAGTTGCCTGTTCGGCTTGCGAGCAACCTCGGAGAAGTCCCGTCCATTTTTTTTCTTTTGGCTCATACCAGACACACTGTTCTCAATTTTGAGTCCTGGGGAAAAATGTTTCACATTTTAAAAACACAAATATTGATTTTCTTTCCTTAATGCATACGCTGAGCCTCCAGGTCTCCTCTCTGCCACCGCCCCCGGGTCTTGCCCTGCTACAGAACGCCAAAGCTGCCCTTTTTTTTTTTTTGGTGGTTGGGGGACCCATTTCTGTTCCTGAAAACTTACCTGTAGTGTATTTCTGCAGCTCTGCTAATGAGTGGAGAAGCGACACAGAGAAGGCGCCTGTGTTCCTCCGAGGAGCCCACAGAACTGCCATTCAGAGGTGGAGCTGAAAGGGCTGTTTCACGGGCCAGCTGCTGTCCAGCTAATGGAGCCTTGTGCCCTGAGCCCCGGACACAGCCCTGGCCATCAGGGCGGTGGGGGGCGGGGGGTACAGTTGGCCAGGAGACCCCAGCTCACGTTCTCCTCGTTTACCACCATCATGGCATGAGGACAGTATTGTCTCTCTCACCGCTGGTCACCATCGATGGTCCTCGTGTGACCCTGGGTGGTTTTCAGGGAAGTGGAACCAGTTTGTAGTTAGCTCTTTTCATTTATTCCTTCATTCGCTCCCAGATATCCTGGGCCAGGCACCACACTGGGTCCTGGGATTCAGTGACTGAGACAGGGAAGCCCCTTGCTCGGAGGGAGCACACATCCTCTGGGGGAGATGGGGAGACAGGTCACACCTTTATGACACCATTTTTGGAAGGGAGAGGCACCGCCATTGCTGCATCCACCGTGCAGCATCTCTGGAGGAGAATTAGACTTCAGAGTTGTAGGGGAAAAAGGAATCAGCAGCTTCAAGTGGTTTTTGGAATTGGGGAGGGCTGTGAATTAGGCACACATGAAATGTAAAAGGAAAAAGCCAGAAGGAAATGCTCTTAACCCCTTCCTTCTCTGACACTGGTGCAGAGGGGAACAAGGCCTGAGCTTCAGCTTGGCTCTGCCCCTACACTGGCTGGGTGGCTTCGGGTAAGTCAGTGAACCTCTCTGGGCCTCAGTTTCTCCATCTGACAAATGGGCCAACAGACTCAGATCTGCTGACCTCACAGGTTTATTGGGAAAGCAAAGGAGACAGAGTGGTAGTGTGAGTAACTGAGCCATGTCAAGGGTGGAACGGATCGTTGTCATTAGTGCTGGAGAGTGTGGTAGCCGTGAGTTGGGTCTGCTGCACCTGGCAATCGCTTTTTGTCTGTACATTTCCTTTGACTGAGGTAGAATTTACACGAGTGAAGTGCATAGGTCCAAAGTCTTAGAATTCTTCCCCTGGAGCAATGACAATCCTTCAACCCATCTCCCCCTCCATCCTCCTATTGCCCCTCACATGGTCCCAGTGAGGCAGGCAGACCAAGAGCTACCATTCCCACTGCACCATAGCAAGCTGAGGCTCAGAGAGGTTAAGTCACCAGCTCCAGGTCACACAGCCAGTTAGGAGCAGAAGTGGCTTTGAACCTGGATCTCTCAGGTAGCCAAGCCCATGCTCTTTCTGCTCTATCTCATGAACTACTGGATCCTAATGGAATGAAAGGGGTCGTTCCTGGTTATGCCTCTTTATTTACAAGGTTTATCTTGGCCTTCTCTGCACTGGACCTGATGCAGAGATGAATCCACTGGTTCACAGGTGAGGTGGGCCAAGCAGGGATGCACATGGGGAGGAGGTGCGCATGGAGGAGGCACCTCCATCATGCTACACCAAGACAGCAGCGTGGCTGAGAGCACAGGCCTGGAGCTCTGTACTGGCAATAGCGCTTCTTAGCTGTGTGACTTCAGACAACTTCCTTCAGCTCTCTGTTCTTTAGTTCCTCTGGGAAATGGAGATAATAACAGTAGCTGCTTTACAAAGTGGTCATGGGGATTAACTGAGAAACCTCATCTAACTCCTCTGCTCCTTGACTGAACCCCAGGAAGTATGTGCGGTTACCATGCCTAGTTTCCAGATGAGGAATCTGAGACATGAGAGGTGAAGTCACTTGCCCATAGTCACACAGGTAGTTTGCGGATATAGCAAACTCAGGTGACGTGGCTCCAGAAATTCTGTGCTCTTAACTGTGGTTTCCATTGCCCTGCCCGTACTGAGTGACGGTACATGTTAGCCCTCATTATGACCTTGAAAGATTCTGCAAGGCAGAGAGTTATCGAGGGGTAAGGACTCTGGGCAGGTGGCCCTGCAGGTGCGATGGCCTGGAGGCCTTTGGGGAGAATCCGGGGGTAGCTGGGGAGCAGGGTGTGTGTGGTGAGAAGGGCACAGTGAAGCCGGGGCAGAGGCAGTGCATTTCATGAGAAACTTGGGGTTGTGGGTTGGGGAAGGATTTGGGTGTGGGATGACGGTGCGGGGCTGGGCCGTTGGACTCAGGTATGCCTGGGCTTGGGGTGGAGCTTCAAGGCAGCGCTGGCTCCAGCCCCTGGAGGAGCCACCCCCTCCACCCACCTGAGATTTCCCAAATTCCAGCTGCGGCTCTGGTTGCTTCTACAGGCAAAGGAGGCCTTGTGGTCGGAGGGGCCTCTGGAGCCCGGGCCAGGCGCTCCCGCCCTCTCAGGGCACACACACCTCCATTCAGCCGGAGCCCCGCCCCTGGGGGGCTGGGGGCCAGGGCGGGCTGCCCCCACGTCAGTCATCAGTTGGGGGCCACCTGACCCAGAGGCTGGGCGGGCAGTGGGGTTGATAAGACTGGACCCCACTGGCCCCCACCACTGTGCCGGCTGCTGCCCTTGCTGCCAGAACCATGAGGGGCCTCTCTGGTCCCAGGATCGTGCTCTGTGGCCTGCTGCTACTGCTCCAGGCTCCTTGCAGCCCGGGTCTCGCCCTCCAGTCCAGAGGTGAGGGGGCAGGTGTGAGATGGGGACACTGAGCGAGTGCGCCCTGACCATCAGCACTGTGGGCTGGGTACTAAGATGGCAGGGAGCAAATGGGATCCAGGATGGGGAGGGGGGCAGGGAGGCAGTGTGGGCAGCAGGCTGATGCCAAAGCAGACAGGGCCGGTGGTGCTGATAAGGGTCGGGACAGGGGTGCTCCTCAGCCCTCAGGGACCATGCACGTGGCAGGGACCGTGGTCTTCCAGGTCTCTGGGGAGCAGAAGATATTCAGAGAGCTGGCTGGCCTCTGGAGTTGCACCAAGCCCAGGGCAGAGCCCATGGCTCTTTGATGACAGCAGACCTGGGATGCCAAGAACTCATTCCCCCTTTGCGGGTCCTTCCAGCCCTGGGTTCCCGCGGGGCAGCATCACCCTCCAGAGTTTCAGGTTTGGGCACTGAGTCCTGGAATGCTCATTCTTCCTGTACAGATGGGGAAACTGAGGCCAGAGAGGGCCTAAGACCACAGAGTGAGATAGCCCCAGAGCCTCTAGGCTCCTGATCTACTGCTGTGTGGTGTGGCCAATTGCCTTCCCTTCTTTGGGTCTCAGTTTCCCCATTTGTAGCCTTAGCTAATAGAGAGCAGGGAACCAGCTGCAGGGTGGTTTCTAAGGTCTCCTAAGGAACTCTGACGCCCAGAGTCCCAGTCTAGTGCATGTGAGAGTCCGCAACTTGGGGGTTGGGATGGCCCTGCCCTTTCCTCTTTCGGATCAGCTCTGCTCAGTACAAACTTGCCATGTGATGGGAGGGAAGGGTTTTTGCAATGAGCCCCTCCTGACTGCAGGCCCAGGCCAGTGACTGTCATGCAGTAGCTTTATTCACTCCACTGGACATGTGAGATCATGGAAGCTCATAAAGGTGCAGTGATCTGCTCAGGACCCCGCAGAGTGGCTGAGCTAGGATCTGACCCCAGGCCTGAACTCACTTCTACCCTGCATACCTCCCAGCACATGGCACTGCCTTCTTGGGTCTCTGAGGGACACTTCTCCTCGGGGGCGTGTCTTGGGGGTGCACCTGATCAGGCTGCCGAGGTGGCCACCAGGATTTCCTGCTCCCTGTCCCTGTCTTCGGCAACCCGCCAGCAGGCGCTGCCAGGCTGAGGAAACTGGTTCCACTTTGGTGATTCACTTTGATGCTCACATGAAAAAGGCCATGTTGACAGGCACTACCTTGGCTCTCACGGCTGTGCCCATGCCTGCAGGGCCCTTCCTCGGTGCCCTCCTGCCCAGCCAGGAGAAATAGGTGCCCTTGTTTCTGGCAGCAAGTCTGGGCTGAAACCTAAGCATGTTTTCAAGGCTGCAGGGTCCTCTGCCACTCCTGGAACACTCACTGCGTGCCTAGCCCTCTGCTGGCTCCTCAGAGCATCCTGTAAGGACGGATTGCCAGCTCACTGTACAGATGAGGAAACTGAGGCTCAGAGAAGTGAAGTGAATGGTCCGAGGTCAGGACTTGGCCCTCTGTGTTTCTGAGCCAGGGCTTTGGCAAGATGCTTGCTGAGTGTCTGCACGTTGGCAAAAGGGCCCAGCCAGCCTAGCTGATGTCCGCAGCCTACTGGGCCCGAGGCCTCGCACCTGGACCTAAGAAGCTGCGTTCTGCTCCTCGGCCTAGAGTGTCTTCAGGCCCAGCCTCTGACCTGTGCCCCTGTTCTCTGCCCTCTCCCTCCTGCCCTGCTCCAGGTCATCTCTGCCGGACGCGGCCCACAGACCTGGTGTTCGTTGTCGACAGCTCTCGCAGCGTGCGGCCTATAGAATTTGAGAAGGTGAAAGTATTCCTGTCCCAGGTCATCGAGTCGCTGGACGTGGGGCCCAATGCCACCCGGGTGGGCGTGGTCAACTATGCCAGCACCGTGAAGCAGGAGTTCCCGCTGCGGGCACACGTCTCCAAGGCCGCGCTGCTGCAGGCCGTGCGCCGCATCCAGCCGCTGTCCACAGGCACCATGACCGGCCTGGCCATCCAGTTCGCCATCACCAAAGCCTTCAGCGATGCAGAGGGCGGTCGTTCCAGGTCCCCCGACATCAGCAAGGTATGTACCCGCCGCCCTGCCAGGATGCTGCTGCTTGAAGGCTCCCGCTAAGAGTTACAAGCTTTGCCTGCATACACGTGAACTCCCATGATGCCACATGAGGCAGCCATTTTGTAGCTGGGGAAACTGAGGGTCAGAGAGGGCAGTCATTAGACAGAGGTCACCAGCTACAAGTGGCAGAGCTGCGATTTGAAGCCACCTTTACCCAGCCTTTCCATCCCAGAAGCTCACAATCATTTCAGTTTAGTTGACTTTGGCTCCCCGACCAGTCAGGCTCTGGAAGACATCACAGACAGGCCAGATGCTTATGGGAGGAATGAAGGTGTGGACACTGCCACCAGCCTGTCTGGGTTCACGCCCTGCTCCACCATACCTCTGCCACCCTGAGCAGGTGACATCATCTCACTGGCCCTCAGTTTCCTGACCTGTAACATGGGAGTAATGATAACACCTTCTCCAAGTGCTGCTATGAGGGCCGAATTCATAAGCATAAGGCACTCAGAACGGTGCCTGGCAGTGAATAAGCCCCATCATGGCATTGGCATTCGCTAATTTTTAATTTCAGAATCCTCTGAGGGCAGGGGCTCAGAAATGGAAGCGCTGTGCCACCACCTGCACTGGCAGCGAGGACTCTAGGGAGAGGGCTGAGCACTTCACAGGGCTTGTGCCCTCACTGTCATTTCCAGGGCTCAGCACAGAACCTGAAGTTGAGCCAGTGCCCTCTTTTCCAGTCGCACCCCACAGGCTCCAGCACTTCCCCACCATAGCCCTTGTTGGCCTGAGTCACCACTTCCCTGCCCAGGACCCCAGCCCAGGGAGGTTCTCTTTCTTATCCCACCTCCATACCACACTCTGTAGCACGCAGTGGATAAATGAACACAATCTTGCTTGGAGGTGGTATCCCCATTTTACAGATGGGGAAACTGATGCATAAGGAGCTTAAGCAACTTGCTCAGCCATTAAGTGGGAAAATATATTTCCCACAGAGACAGCGGCATATAATCCCAGCCATTACCACCTCTCAAAGAAACGATGCATCAGGCAGCCTGTCAGTCTTGGGGCCAACCACAAGTTTCAGCATGGGGTGCTGTAGATGAAGCTGATGGTTGAGGTGGTAAAGAGGGTGTGCTGGCCTGAGGCAATCCTAATGGGGAGAGGGTGAAGAAAATGGGGGGATGACTGCAGCGGGCACATTCTCCAGAGTTAACCGGTTCACCCCAGTTCAGACCTGTGGCCTGGGGTGGGTGAGTGAGGAGAGAGCTCCTCCAGCAGGTGACAGAGGGGCTGAGGGCTGGCACCACTCCAGGTGTTCAGCCTGGAGTTTGCATGTGGGGGACCCACAAAGGGGGAAATCTGAAAGCTGGGTTGCAGGTGGAGAGCAGGGGCTTGGAAAGGCCCTGGGATGTGGCAGCGAATAGTCACAGCTAGGTTTCCAGTACCAGGAACCCAGGCCCCTGGAGGGGAAGAGATGGTGCAAGATCACTCCCCAGGGAGCCCAGGGTAATGATGGTAAAAATAATAGTTGCCTTTTCTGGCTTCTAACCGAGAGTCGTCTCATTCAACTTCACTGCAGCCCCTTTTTACAGATGAAGAGACTGAGGCTCAGGAAGGTGACCTCTAACTTGTGGAGCTGCATTTCTAACCACGGGCTGTCTCAACTGCATGTTACCAGGGCACAGAGTCAGGGCCTGGGGCTAAGGATGGGACCCAGGAATCAGAAGCAGACCCAAGTCAGAAGCAGAGAAGCAGCAAAAGGGGCTACGTGCCTAACCAAGACTGGGCCGAGCTGGGAGCATCCTAGCTTCAGGGCGGGTGCAGGCAGGGGATCACGAAGCTGGGTCTCAGCGTCGGAGTACCCCGCCCCTCTCTTTCCAGGGTACAGACAAGAGGAGTCTAGTGGGAGGAGAGCAGGCAGATTCTTTCCCTCTCTGAAGGGGCATGCATCATCCTGGGGAGTGGAGGAAAAGGGTGTATCTTCCTTGGGTTGGTCCCTTGGGCATCCAGTGGGAGTGGTGCTCCGACTGGTCGCGGGTGCAAGGTTCTGGAGCTTAGAGGCACAAGGACAGCGCAACGGGAGGCGGCTGCCCCATCCCTTAGCCTCTGCTGCCATCTGGTGGTCAAAGCGCAGAACTGCACCACGTGGGGCCCGCAGAACTGCACCAAGTGCAGCCAGGGGACTCTCGGCCTGGCCTCTCCGGGGCACGAGGGGCGCCGCACGGCGCCCACAGCCATCAGTCTAAGGAACCTGCCCTCAGCGGCCTCAGTCAGAGGGGAAGGCATGGCCCTGACCTCAGAGGGCCCAGTTTGGCGACAGGGCATCACATCCGGGCATCTCGGAACTGCCTGCCCGAGAGAGGCGACGCAGAAGGGAAGCCCCTTGGCCACGTTTCTCAAAGGAAACGGGTCTCCATTATGGCTATCCAGGTCCTGTTCCCCGGGGCGCCGCCTGGCTGTGCGACCCCGGCAGTCCCTCTGCCCCCTGGCCATAGCCTCCTCTCCTGGACAGTCCGGTGGGCTTCCCAGAGGCCCGGCGTCACACCGCCCCGCGTGTCGCAGGTGGTCATCGTGGTGACGGACGGGAGGCCCCAGGACAGCGTGCGGGACGTGTCTGCGCGGGCTCGGGCCAGCGGCGTCGAGCTGTTCGCTATCGGCGTGGGCCGCGTGGACAAGGCCACGCTGCAGCAGATCGCCAGCGAGCCGCAGGAGGAGCACGTCGACTACGTGGAGAGCTACAACGTCATCGAGAAGCTGTCCAGGAAGTTCCAGGAGGCCTTCTGCGGTGCGCTGGCAGGCGGGGACGGAGCCAGGGCAGGGGCGGAGACAGCGAGAGCGGCGGGGTGGGGCCAGGACAGGGGCGGGGCCTAGGCGGAGGCGGAGACAGAGAGAGCCAGTGTCAGGGAGGGGCAGGGGCGGGGCGGAGACAGAGAGAGTCGGCGCCCGGGCGGAGCAGGGGCGGGGAAGAGGCGGAGACGGAGGCGGAGAGAGTCGGCACTGGGGCGGAGCAGGGGCGGGCCGAGGCGGAGACGGAGAGAGTTAGCGCCGGGGCGGGGCAAGGGTGGGGCCAGGTCAGGGGCGAAGACGGAGAGAGCGACAGGGCGGGGCCAGGGCTGAGCTGGAACGTAGCCATGGCAGGGGCGGAAACTAAGAGTCCCCGCTAAGGCGGGCCAAGGCCAGAGGCGGGGCCAGGGCTGAGGTTAAGACAGAGAAAGACAGCGTTGGGGCGGGGCCTCATCAGAGGGGGGGGCCTAGCCGGGGCGGTAGCCTATAAAACGGCGGGGACTGCGTTACATGGCAACATCAGGGCGGGGCCAGGGCTGGGGGCTGGGTCTAGGTGGTTTGGGGTCGAACCTGGTTGAGACTGAGGTGGTGCCGGAACCGGGGGTGTGGCCGTAGCTGGGGCGGAGCTTGATACAGAGGAGGGTCTCCAGCCCCAGGTTAAGGGAGTTGGGGAAAGGCAATGTTAAGACCCCTTTTATGTGGCGGAATCCTGGCAGGGACTAAGGAGGGCCTGGAGCCCAGGTAAGAGAGCTCCCAGAAAACCTATATGTATTTCTGTGTCGGGAGTTTTGGGTGTCAGAGTTTTCTGTGATGCGGGAGAGTCGGAGGGGCCTGGGTACTGGCAGAAGGTTCAGAGCCCGTCTAGGAGGGGAGGTGTGTGTGGGGATCTTTGGGATGTGACCAGCAGGGGTGGGGTGTCCAGTAGCACAGGATCGGGCCAGGGCAGGGACTTTACCCATTTATAAAATGGGTCTAAGAAGAACATGCACGTTAGTGCTCTGCCACGGGCTCTGAGCACGTTATTGCGAGGATCATTGGTATGTAACGGACATGTGCTGTGTTCATTGTATGCTGTTCTAGGCACTTGGGTGTCTTGATACAGGAGTGAATTAAACAGACTAAAGTCCCTGACCCTTGGCCTTTACCTTTTTAGTGGGACTTGTAATTTTTATCATCAGCGTTATGATCTTCTTCAGGGATATAGGCCCTGGTGCAGTGACCCCAGACCTGGGCTGAGAGTCGGGGGCCTGGGCCCCAGGACGTTGGAGGCCTTAGTTTTCCTGAGTCTGGAGGGGGGCCTGGTATCCACAGTCAGTGAGGGACACACTGTCTGAAGAGCCCAAGGCTCTGTGATTGTGAGATCTGAGCTACCCCTTGTCCCTGCAGTGGTGTCAGACCTGTGTGCCACGGGGGACCATGACTGTGAGCAGGTGTGCATCAGCTCCCCTGGCTCCTACACCTGTGCCTGCCGTGAGGGCTTCACTCTGAACACCGATGGCAAGACCTGCAATGGTCAGTGGAGTGGACGCAGGGTCGCCCTGGGCGGGGTGTGGAGGGATGGCGGTGAGGTTTCAGCAACTCCCCAGGGAACCCATTCAAGCCTCCCTGCACCTTACCTCTGAACCTGTCTTCAAAGCAGACAGCTGCCTTTCAGAGTCTGGTGAGAGACAGATGCTGTTGAGAATTCTCACCTGACTTTTGTCCCTGTTTTCAACACAATGGCTGGTGGGTTTAGTGTGGTGGAAGGACTCACATAGTCTCAAAATCAAATCCTGGTGCCACCACTTCTGAGCTGTGTGATCTCACAGCTGTTGGAGTTTCAGTTTCCAATACTGTAAAGTGGAACCAGTCACCTTGGCTTTATAGAGACAGTTCTGAGGGCAAAATGGAATGATCCTTAGCATAGAGCTTGGTGTGTGGTGGGTGCCCAGGGAGCAGGATGGATGACTGTGTCCTTCAGCTTCATCCACTCACCTTCCTGCCCTCCCCAGTCTGCAGTGGTGGTGGTGGCAGCTCGGCCACTGACTTGGTCTTCCTCATCGATGGATCCAAGAGTGTGCGGCCAGAGAACTTTGAGCTGGTGAAGAAGTTCATCAATCAGATCGTGGATACGCTGGACGTGTCAGACAAGCTGGCCCAGGTGGGGCTGGTGCAGTACTCAAGCTCTGTGCGCCAGGAGTTCCCCCTGGGTCGCTTCCACACCAAGAAGGACATCAAGGCGGCTGTGCGGAATATGTCCTACATGGAGAAAGGCACCATGACTGGGGCCGCTCTCAAGTACCTCATCGACAATTCCTTTACTGTGTCCAGTGGGGCTAGGCCTGGGGCCCAGAAGGTGGGCATTGTTTTCACTGATGGCCGGAGCCAGGACTACATTAATGATGCTGCCAAGAAGGCCAAGGACCTCGGTAGGTGCTGCCTTCCTGGACCGTGGACACCACTCATGGCCAGGGGTACACACATGGCCAGGGGTAGCCCATAGTTTGTCTTGGTGTCCTCTGATTAGTGCCCTAAACCCAGGTGAGTTTGAATGAGGAGGATTAGTTAGTCCAGTTCTCTCTTATACCCATGACAAAATTGAGGCCCCAGAAAGGTAAAGTGAGTTGTTTTAATGGTTCATTTGTAAGTGAGGCTTGGAATTTTTCCAGCTGGATATTCCCAAGAACACATCAACTGTTGGAGGGCAACTCTACTTTGGAATAAGCCTGAGCTTCAGTTTTGCCACCTATTAAATGAGGAAAAAAATAACCACCAGATGGATGGTTATTAGGGTTAAATAAAGCTTGCTGTACAAAGCTTCCCGTACAGGAAGTCTGTATTGGGTCTAACACAGAATAGAACCTCAGTAAATGTTGGTTTCCTCATTGTTCTTGTTCCAGGCGTTGTGCTTGCAATTCCAGCAGCTGCCAGCAGGAGGTGTGTGGTGTTGGCTGCCTAAGCATTCCCCAGGAGGCTCAGCCACATGGCTGCCCATCCCCACATCCAGCCTTACTTGTCTTGTTCCTCCTGGCAGGCTTTAAGATGTTTGCTGTGGGAGTGGGCAATGCTGTGGAGGATGAGCTGAGGGAAATCGCCTCAGAGCCTGTGGCAGAGCACTACTTCTACACGGCTGACTTCAAGACCATCAACCAGATAGGCAAGAAGTTGCAGAAGAAGATCTGTGTGGGTGAGTGAGGCCAGGGCTGGCATCGATGGAAAGGGCAGGTGGGGCACTGTATAGGTGGAGCTATCCTGGAATGTGGGTGGGGAAAAGCAGGGGCTGAGGCGGCACCAAGAGTTGGCAGAACCAGTAGGTGGGCTGGCGAGTACAGCTCTTATTACTAGCAAACGTGCTGAATGCTCATTACGTGGCTGGCACTGTTCTCAGTGCTCTCTGGATATGACATCATCCAATCCTATTTGGTAGGAATGTCATCATCCCCATTATACAGATGGGATAAACAAGGCCAAAGGGGTGGGACAACTGTTAGTAGCTGGGAGAGCCAGGACTTGATCCCTATTGCCTTTCTGTTCTTCTCTGGTGACCTCACCAGCTGGTTCCTAGTGGTAAGGAGAATGGGCTTGAGAGCCAGACACGCCTGGGCCTGTGTCTTTGCTCTGACACTGTTGGCCATGGGCAAGTTGTTTCACTTCTTGGATTCTTCACTTGTAAAATGGGATTAATGACTTCAAACCCAAAGGGTTGGGGTGAAGTCACTGAGGTGACATCAAGGCCCCTAATGGTGTTCTTCATGTAGCAGGTACAGGGAGGAGCTTGTAGTTCACTCTCAGGGCTCCAAGGGATTAGAAAGACGTTCAGGGCTCACCCCTCCATCACTCCTAAGGGTGATGTCTCAAGGACTATGTCTCCCTGCCTCCTCAGGTCACCTAAGCCCCTCACTCTTCCAAGACTCTTGAGTCCTGGTTGTGGGCAGTGATAGTCTCCCCCCCGTCCCCGCCCCGGGCAACCACTCAACAGTTCCTCTCTCTTTCCCACTTTCCTGTCTCCTGCAGAGGAAGACCCGTGTGCCTGCGAGTCCCTGGTGAAATTCCAGGCCAAAGTGGAGGGGCTGCTGCAGGCCCTGACCAGGAAACATATCCCTTCCCAGAGGTGGCTGGGGCCGGGGAGGGGTGCAGGCCAGTGTTGGAGGAGGCGGAGGCATGGCCCAAGTGTGGTTGGTTGGGCAGGCTTCTCTTGGCCTGCCTCCTGCTGATGGGCTGCATTCTGGCGGAATAGGCTGAAACCAACTTGGGGGCAGACTCTGTCAAAAGCAGAGACTCGTAGAAGGTAAACAGAGAAATTGAGGCAGAAGCCAAGATATAGGGACTGGACACACACCAGAGTCCTGGACACGCTCTGAAGAACATGGAGCCTGTGGACACCCCATTTCTCAGGCTCATGACGATGTGCCTGACCCCAGTACCCACTCAGAGGTGGGGCTGAGCCCCAGGTGGTTCCCTTGGCTCAGCCAGGACTCGGTGGGGAACCCAGCAGGGCTAAACCTGCAACTGAGCAGGGCTGGGCACTCAGGGCTCACAGTGACTGGCTACGTTTTTTGGAAAGCACCATTCTGAGGACAGTGGATGGGTAAGTTCTGACGGAGGGGAGAATGCACGCTGTAGTGGGGTGTTGCAAGGAAACAGGAAGCAGGGGCCTGAGTTCAGGGCCACACCCATCCCTGCCCTGCTCTGTCCAGCACACACCTCTCCTTAACTCTGAGTCCACTGGAAGCTGTGAGCAAGCGGCTGGCCATCCTGGAGAACACAGTCGTCTAAGGTTGCCTGTCGCCACTGCAGCCTCTCCATCTCCTCACCTCAAGTGTGGCTCCAAGCGTCCTGTGCGTGTCCCCTGTAGCTTTGCCATTTTAGTGAGGGAGGCCAGCCTGGCAGTGGGAAGGGGTGTGTCTGGGTGTGTCTATTGGGAGTGTGTGATTGCATCTGGGAGCACCTGTGTGTGCATGTGCGTGTGTGCCTGAGGCTGGGCATGAGTCCGGAAGCCAGAATGTGAGTGTGAGAGTGACAATGCAGGGGTGAGTGTGAGAGGGACTGCGTTTGCATTTTCCAATCCAAAGCTTAATATATTCCCATTTTTTTAGTTAACCCTTTGTTGACTCTGAGTGCTGTGAATTTCTTTACTGATTTCTCTATTCTCTGATGAGAGACAATGAAATGTGATTTAACTTAAACACTGAATGGGGTTAGAGGCAAGTGTGGTTATTTGGGCACCAGGGAAAAGGATGGATGAAGATGCTGTGGGAGGGGATGGTTGGAAGGATGGCAACAGTGATGGTGATAGTGATGACAGCGACCACACCAAAACCAGGTGATGTTTGTCCTGACTTTTCAGTTACAAATTCATTTCACTTCCCAGTAACCCTACCCAGAAAAGGCTCAAATCATCCCCATTACAAATGGGAAAGCTGAGAGTCTGAATGATGAAATGACTTGCTCAGCACTGGGTCAGTTGGAGAGACCAGGACTTGAATCTAGGACCAAAGAACATCAAAAGAAAAAGGCATCAGGGAAAAAGGGCAAGGACACCAGATAGGACTCATTCATTCATTCATTCACTCAGTACTTACAGAGCAGTGCGGGGGATGGTGGCATATGAGACAGGCATAGTCCCTGCACACAAGGGACTTAGAGTTGAGCAGTGTGATCATGTCACCCCACCCCAGCTAGAGGAAAAGAGCGTGGGTTTAGGTTGTACCAGGGGTTTGTGCCTCCTCTTGGTACCTGGGAGCCCATGGGGTGAGAGTGTGAGTGAGATGATAGGAAGGGCTCCAGCCTGGGCCTGGGCTGACCTAGGTGCCTCTCCACTCCCACCCCAGCATGCCCTGTTGGAGTTCTGTTTGTTTCCTGTCTATTGGCGGCTTCACCCCCAACCCAAAAACCCCAACACGATGGCAGCAGCCCCACCTCAGAAACTGCACAAAGGAAAGACTCCCGGCCCCATATTCCCTTCCTCCAGTCCTACTTGGAGTCTGCAGGTCATACCATGAGATCTCAGCCACCTCTCCCAGGCCCCTCTGGACCGGTGCCCCTCTGGAATCTCCATCTCTGGCCTCTCAGAAGGGGAGCTTTGGTGATATTGTGAACCTACTCTTGTTTAATAGAGCATTTTTAGTGTTACTACTAGTTTCACACTTGAGAGCATGTCTAAAAGGCTTTTACAAGAAGCTCAGACCACACCGGAAGATCTTCCGCAGAGGCAGTTCAAAGAGGCGGAATAACAACACCAACAGTACCCAAGAGCCACATCAGCACAACAGCACAACAGCACGACAGCAGAGTGATTTAACCGGGACATAGCCACGCTCTCCCCCGTGACCTCACCCCACCTCCTGCGCTGTTCACCAAGCCCTTTCTCTGTGCCCGTCCCTGGGGTAGGAGTTTTTCTGCTGTCCAAGGACGTTCCTTGTCACAGCCACCCAAGAAGTAATTACTCTACCCATCCTTCCTTTCTTCTGAGATTTCCACCACTCTCCTCCCCACACAGGTGGGGCGAGGGAGAGGCAGGTGAGCTGATGTGGACAGAAAAGGCTCAGCAGTGTTTCTCCAAGGAGGAGGAGAGGGTCGTTGGCCGATGCCATGGCCTGGGAGCTGGTGGGCAGAAGCAGCAGATGCCCTTGATGAGTGGAGTGAGAGATGGGGTGGAAGCCCTGTCTGGGAATAGGACCTCATTCTTCCCTGCCCGGTGGGTGGCGTAGCTGGCAGGACCTTGTCACCAGGCTCCGAGAAAGGCAGGGACCAGCTTCTTGGGGTCTTTCCATCCCAAACTCTTGCCCTTAACTCATCAGTGTTCTCCCCATGGCTACTCCAGGTCCTCATGAAATCCGTCCTGTCCATGGTCTTCCCACGTCTCTCTCTGCTCTAGGTCTGATTTACAGAAGGTTATAAATGAATCCCAGAAAGAAAGAAAACTGGCATCTCCCGAGGGCAGCTGTGGTCTACTGACAGATGGCACGTTACTTTGTAACCTATAATTTTGTTCTTTTTTGAATTTTGTATAAATAAACAGGACTAATTAGGATTGTTCTTTTCTTTCCTCAGGCCTTGGGCTACAATAGGAGTCTCCTGGCCCCTTAGTGCATTGGTTACCAGGTTTCAATAATGGGTTTGTCTTTGTAATTACAGTTCATTAATGGATTTACAAAGGAGAGAAGATGGTGAATTCTGCTAAGGGGATTGTTTTGCATTTCTCCTCTTTTAATTACGTGGTTTTCTCCTGGACCAGTGATCTTTGAAAAAATGGGGGTGGGGGTGGAGAGTTCTAATGCCCCATCTGTTCCAGTTGTGAATGCAATCAGGAGAAGACAGGCGCTGCTCAGGGCTTCCTGACACCTGAGGCTGGGCCTGTATCCTTTTCAGAGCCGCCTGTGAGGCTGCCAGGGGGTGGGGGTATCCTGCCACTCAACCCTGGTTTGCATCAAGGTATGTTGACAAGGGGAGGAGACCACTCTGCTCATGGGGGTGTGGCAGCCTTGGAGTATTTGGGGTCAGAATCGAGTTTGGGTCACCTGCTGAGTTGTTGTTTTTGGATGATCCCTGTGTGCCGGGTGATATATACACAATTTTCAGTTCGAACTTCTCAGTGATGATTTTAATAAACTTGTTTCGCAGACGGGGACACCAGGGCCAGATGTAAAGTGTCACATGGACAGAAAGCCGCTGGGCTGAGATTTAAACCTTGAAATCTCTGCCTCCCGAATCAGGGCTCTTTCCAAAACACTGGCCTCTCTGAAGTTCAGGCTCACTATGGTGAAAGGGGGTCCTATTCCTTTCTCCACAGGTTGGGGCCATCACTGGTTAACTGGCCTTCCTGCCTTTGGGCTCTTGTTCTTTAGTCCATCCTGCACACTGAGACCAGTGTGATGATCCTATGGTGCCCAGCTGATCAGGTCACACCTTTGCTCAAGAATCTTCTTTGGCTCCCTACTGCCTCCTGGATACATTCAAACTTAGCCTGACACCTTAGGTGCTGTATGATCTGGCTGCTGCATACCTCTTCTCACTGTGATCTCACAGAGGCCGCATTCTAGTAACGTAGAACTATATGAGGTTTCCATTGTGGAGATGGAGAGATGGGCACAGAGAGCTAAAGTCACTTGTGGAAGATAGAACTCCCAGGGATGGAGGTCCTGAAAGGGTGGCACTTTCTAGGCTGTGAAGCAGGGTGAGGACCAGGGTAGGGGGGTGTTGATATCTCTCCACTTGGGTCTTGCTCACCCCATGGTGCTCCGAGAATCCCAGGCTTTGCCATGGAAGTCAGATTGAGAAGCCTTGGGTGGTTTTTAAATTCTCCAAATGCTTCCTGAGAACCTGCTGTGTTCAGGGCACAAGCCAGGTGCTGACGACAGGGAGACAGTGATCAACTAGATAATGTCCCTAATCTCAAGAGGCTTCCGATCTATTTAACACAACAGATGGGACTGGAACACCTGAGCAATGATGGTAATAAAACAACAGCCTCCCTTTATTGATGGCAAATATTGTGCTGGCTGCACATCGCTGTTCTTGCTCACTGAGGAGTAACGAGTTCTGAGAGGTCAGATAAATTGTCCCAAACTGCACAGCAAGAAGCTGCTCAAATGGGATTTGAACGGAGGATGGTTGGGTTTCAGATGCTGAACTACGTCTTCTGCAGTGAGCTCCCCCTGCTCTGTGATTTTGATGGGGAAAGGGCTAGTGGGCCAGGGCCAGGATGAGACACAAACGGGGGAAGACCCTGGAAAGAGTTGGAGATGTCGAGGCCAAAAGCAGCTACCAGTAATAAGGGGCCAGTGTTTATGGAACCCCTGCCGTGTGCCAGACACCACTTTGGGCACTTCTCATGGACTAGACCTTAATTTGATTAATTCTCACTGTAATCCTATGAAGAGCTTACTCTTTATAATTCCATTTTACAGTAGGGACACTGAGGCATGGAAGGTTTCAGTAGCATGTCACTGTGCCCCTTCTAGTCAGCCATAGAGCTGGGACTAAACTGATCTCACAGACTCCTGAGTCAGGTGCTGCCAGCCACAGCGCTCACTGAGCTGACCTAATGCAGCTGCGCACTGACAAGTGGCTATGATGTTAAAAAGGAATAACAGCATAATTGCATGTGAGGGGGACCAAAAGTGAATCATTCATTGCTTTACTCATCCAGCAGTGATTTACTGAGCACCTGCTTTGAGCACCGGCTCAGGCCCCAGGGCCCCAGCAATGAGCAGAGTGTCTGTTTTTGCAATCAAGGCCCTACTTTCTCACAGGAGCCTGACTATGAAGGAGGGGGCAAATGAAGTGTGGGGCGCTGCCGACACAGAAGTGTGGAAGAACTTAAAATGAGGCTGCACTGGGGGATGGGTGGGGTGGGTGCCCTGGCCTTCACCTTCAGGGAGCCCAGTGTGAACGTGGCGCAGGCCTGTGGTTTCAGACTTGATTCTGATCTAGCGCGGTGTCGGGTGGAGCCTGGAATCAGACAGGTGGACCTTCCTTCACAATCATGATGGCAAAGGCTTGCGTGCTACTTAACAGTTCACAAGCACCAGGTGAAGTCAGTATGGTTATCAGCCCCATTTTACAGAAGGCGCATAAGCTTGGAGACGGGAAGAGACTCATCTGAGTCACACCACAGAGGAGCTGGGATGTGAGGCCGAGGCTGTTGGACTCTGAAGTTCCTGCTGTCCCCGTTCACCCTTTGCTGCACCTTGGCTGATGCTTTCTGAGCCCCTTTGTCCATCTGTGAAGTGGGCTCCTGAAGTGGGGTAACATCATCTGCCTTGGACCTTGGAATTATGGATTGAAATATTTTTTAAAAGATTTATTCTTTCTTTATTTTGTCTGGTCTACATTGAAGGTGTACAGCGTGGTGTTTTGATACGTAGTGAAGTGATGACTGCGGTGGAACGATGTGATTCGAATGGGGCGGAATGGCTGGCTTTGAGGCTGCTAGGGAGGAATCTGGCCATAGGATGGCACCATTGGCCCAGGAATGGGGTGACCGGGCCCCGCTGGGGGATGGGGTTCGGGTTTGGTCACTGAGAGCTGGGCTAGTCCCTGTCACTATGGCACCTGTCGCACTTAATCTCTTTAATCCCCTCCTTCCTAACCTCCCTCCCAAAGCTCCTGAGGGGCCGGTGACTTCTCTCATGGGGATGGTTGTATCCCCCCAACTGCAGCCCTTGCTATCCCATCCCTCACTCTGATGT